CTTATTCTATAGCTACAGTAATCAAGACAATGTGATATTGGCAGAGGGATAGATACGTAGATCAATAGAACAGAACAGAGAACCCAGAAATAAACTCACACAAATATCCCCACTGAGTTTTGACAGAAGTGCAAAAGCAATTCAATGGAGAAAAGATAACTTTTCACCAAATGGTGTGGGAACAACTGGACATCCAAAGACACAAAAATGAACTCCACTTAACTCTCACACCTTATACAACATTAACTCAAAATGGATCACAGATTTAAATGTTAAAGATAAAACTATAAGGCCCTTAGAAAAAGTATCAGAGAAAATCTTTGGGATCTAGGGCAAGGTGAAGGGTTCTTTGACCTGACACCAAATGCACCGTCCAAAAGAGGAAAAACTGATAAATATTTTTGAAAATTGCTCTTGAATGACTCTGCTAAGAAGATGACAATAAAAGCTAAAGGATAGGAGAAAATATGTATAAAACACGTATCAGACAAATGACTAATATTTAGACTATACAAAGAATGCTTAAAACTCCAGACAATCCAACCAGAAAATGAGCAAAAGACATGAACAGACACTTCACCAAAGAGGACATAAGGGTGGTAAATAAGCCCATGGAAGGCTGTTCACTACCTCTAACCATTAGACTACACAACTATCAGAATGGCTAAAACAGAAACTAGTGACAATACCTAAGGCTAGTGAAGATGTAGAGAAACTGAACAACTCACCCATACATTACTGGTGGGAATGCAAACTGGTCCTCTGGAACACAGTTTGGAATTTTCTTATAAAACTAAACACTCACTTAACACAGTAATTGCACTCTTGGGCATTTGTCCCAGAGAAATAAAAACTTACGTTCACCCCAAAATCTGCCTATGAATGTTCATAGCAGCTTTATTCATAATAGCCCCAACCTGGAAGGTGGGTTAAACAAACTTGCAAACTTGCATATCCATGGGCTCCCACTAAGCGATGAAAAGGAATAAGCTATTGATACATACAACTACACAGGTGACACTCAAAATAAGTACGCTGAGTGAAAAAAGCTAGTTTCAGAATGTTACATACTGTGTGATTCCATTTATATAACATTCTTGAAATGACAAAATTATAGAGATGGAGAACAGATTAGTGGTTGCCAGGTGTTAAGGAGGGAGTGGGGATGGGAGGGAAGAGGGTGTGGCTATAAAGGGCAACTTGAGGGATTCTGTGGTGATGGGAATGGTCCTGTCTTCACTGCTATGCGAAGTTGGTAATGGCTCCCAGAGGTAGGTCCAAACCTAGTGCCCAGAACCTGTAAATGCTGCCTTCTTTGGAGAAAAGGTCTTTGCAGATGTAATTAAATTAAGGATCTTGAGATCAGGAGATTATCCTGGATTATCCGTGTGGGCTTCAAATGTCATTACAAGTGTCCTTATAAGAGAGAGGCAGAAGGAGATGACACATGCGTGGGCACGCACGCACAGGAGAAGGTGATGTGAAGACGGAGGAGGGGAGGGTGCAGCGGACCAGCCACCTGAAGCTGGAAAAAGCAAGGAGCAGATTCTCTCCTAGAGCCCCCGGAAGGGGAGACAGCACTGCCTACACCTTGGTTTGGGACTTCTCGCCTGCAGAATTGTGAGAGAATAAATTTCTATTGCTTTAAGTCACCTAGTTGGTGGTAATTTTTACAGTAGCCACAGATGACCAACATATTCACTGTATATTATACAATAGTTTTGCAAGAGGTCACCACTGGGAGAAACTGAAGGATAAACAGGGCCTCTCTGTATTATTTCTTTCTTTTTTTTTTTTTTTTTAAATAAATTTATTTATTTTATGTATTTATTTTTGGCTGCGTTGGGTCTTCGTTACTGTGAGCGGGCTTTCTCCAGTTGCAGCGAGCGGGGGCTACTCTTCGTCCCGGTGCGTAGACTTCTCATTGCAGTGGCTTCTCTTGTTGCGGAGCACGAGCTCTAGGCACACAGGCTTCGGTAGTTGTGGCGCGTGGGATCAGTAATTGTGGCTCACGGGCTCCAGAGAGCAGGCTCAGTAGTTGTGGCGCACGGGCTTAGTTGCTCCGCGGCATGCGGGATCTTCCCGGACCAGGGCTCAAACCCAGGTCGCCTGTGCTGGCAGGCGGATTCTTAACCACTGCGCCACCAGGGAAGCCCCTCTGTATTATTTCTTACAGCTGTATGTGAATTGACAATTATCCCCAAATAAAAAGTTCAATTTATAAAAACTAGGGAAGGGAGATGAAAAGTTCGCTATGGGAGCGGGGTCAGGAGGGAACACCCAGTGCAAAGGCCCTGGGTTTACGGGCCTATGTATTAAAAGAACTGGGTGTAGCTGGAAGCTCTGAGGTCAGAGAGATACTAGCCTGTGTGTGGATGGGGGGTGGGGAGAAGGGACCACGCAGGGCTCTGTAGGCTATTTTGAGAGCCTTGCCTTTTACTGTGAATGAGATGGGAAAATGTTGGAGGGTTTGAGCAGGACAGACATGATCTGACTTACGTGGAACTGGACCAATACGGCTGCCATGCTGAGCAGTCACGGTAGGAGGCAAGGCAAGAGCGAGGAGGCCAGGTGGGAGGCTGTCCAATCACTCAGGTGATACAGAGACCGGATTTGAATAAAAGGTAGTAATAGGGATGGTGAGAAATAGTTGCATTCTGAGTATATTTGGAAAGCAGAGCCACTGGGATTTGCTCTCAGGTTGACCCTGGGTGTGGCAGTCCTGCAGGTTACAAGGACTGAGCCCGAGCGCCCCCCAGAGGACGGAGCTGCCATGCACTCGCGGCATGGAGCAAGTGTTGGGAGGAGCGTGTTTGAGTAGAGGTCGGGGCTCCATTCTGCACATGATGCATGTGAGATGCTTGCTAGACATTCAAGAAGAGATGTCCAGTTGGCACTTGGATGTAGGCATCGGGCGTTTAGGCTGGAAATGTAGGTGTAGCAGTCAACGTTTAGAAAGTATTAATGCCACAAGGCTGGATGAGGGTCCCAAGAGAATGAACGTGGTTAGGGAAGAGGTCCAAAGCCTGAGCCTTGGGGCAGTCCAGTGTTAAGGGGTCAGATAACAGAAGAAACCAAGAAAGGATGAGAAGGGTCCGTCACAAATTAGGAGGAAAACCAGAAGAATGTAGCATCCTGGAAGGCAGTTTGAGGACGCATTCTAGGGAGAAGGCAGTGGTCACTGTGACAAATTTTGCCGATTGTCACTGAAGTGGAAGACTGAGCAGCGGCCTCAGGCTATAGCCCTGAGGAGGCCGTTGGTGAACGTGATAGCAACAGCCTTGGTGGGTCCATGGGGCAAAGGGAAGAACAGGAATTACAGACACAAGTACCCTCCAGAGAAGTTTTGCAGTGAAGCAATAGCTGGAGGGAGAAATGGGGTGGAAAAGCTTTCCTTAAATTGGGAGAATTAAGAGCATGTTCGTAGCTGATAAGAAAGAGCCAGTGGAGGGACAAATGAACGATGCTGGGAGGGAGGGAACGATTTCTGGAACAACGTCCTTGCGTAGGTAAGAGGGGAGAGCACGGGTCATTCATCTACGGCAGCAGTTTTCAACCTTGGATGGACGTTAAAGTCATCTGGGAGCACTTAAAGATCTCCAGCCCAGGCCACACCCTTAACCCATGAACTCGGGGTCTCTGGGATGACTTGGCAGAGAACAGGCAGGAGGGGAGAGTTCTGGGGCGCAGAGGCTGGTGGGCGGGCAGAGTGATTGAGGATGAAGCTCTCTTCTGACTGCTGCTGCCTCCTTGGTAAAATGGGAGCGAACTCACTACTGAGTGTGAGGACGGAGGAGCTTTTGGAGGCTTGGGGTGATGATCTGGGCGTGGGAAGATTGCAGTCATGTTAATGACGAGGTCTAGGGTAAGACTGTGGAAGCGAGTGGCTGAGGGAGGGCGGAGATCAGGATCAGAGCGGGAGAGGAGTTTAAGAAACTGAGAGGCCAAGATTCCGGAAGTATCCTCTATGCGGATGGTCCACTTATCAGGAATTAAGATGGGAGCAATGGTGGAGAGAGTGACAGCGAGCTAGAAGGATTCTCTCTGGACCCCAGACAGTGTAGGTGTGGGGCTGGGGGAGGGGCAGCTCTTCCTTCACCCTCGCCTTGCTATTTAGGCTTCAGCAAAATTGAAATTCCTAAAGATCCCAGATATTGTGTTGGAATTCCTGTTTCTTGTAACCCATATCATCCTCTTTCTTTAATTCCTTGTTTGGATGGTAGTTCTACATAAGTTATTATTATTATTGCTAAGACTATTGCAGTAGTCCCCTTCCTGGTTGTTCCTGCTTCTAGTCTTGTTTCATTCCACTTTTTCACTGACAAACCCCACGTCTTCTCCACATTTCCTCCAGAGTAACTTTCTGAACCACCAAATCTGACCTGGTCACTTCCTTGTTTAAAACTCTGCAATCACTCACTGTTCCTAACAACACTATCACTTGCTGTGCCAGGCACTGCTTTAAGTGCTTCACATGCCTTCTTTAACCTAATCCTCAGTCACTCCAAAGGTGTGTGTTATCATTATCCTTATTTTATAGGGGATGAAACTGAGGCACAGAGAGGTTAGGTAGCTTGTCCCGTGCGTGTAAAACTGACATTATCACTGTATACAAAGCCTCTCATAACTGGTCACCCTCTCTGTACAGCTTCCTTTCTTACCATTGCCTCCCACCTTAAACTTTATGCTTCAGTAAAGCTGAATTACTTAAAGGTCCGAAGATCAGTCAGGCTCCCAGCAGGAAGTGTATGGCACAGAAAGAAGGTTTAATTGAAGAAAGTTAATGAAGGGCCTCTTTGCAAGATGTGGGCAGGGCTAAAGGAACCAATAATGATGATGCAGCATCCAGACACTAGCATTAGACGGAGATCAAGGGAGCAAGGAGAGGGGATGGCACTGTCAGGACCACATGGGGTCAAGGCTGTGGAAGAGGGTCTGCACAGCAGGGACTGTAGGGACACGCAACCACTGTCGAAACCATGATAAATCCCCTGACCTACCTCTGATGTCCTGCAGCGCTTCCACTGGCCACATCCAACTGGAAGCCGGAAGGTGAGGGAGTCCGGATGATGCAGTCTGTCAAGGTCAGCCTCCTGGGACACACAGCAGGCAGGAGAAGGACAGAGAACGGATCAGGAGAGACTTTTTGTCCTTTGCTCAGAGGAATGAATGTGGTCCCACCCAGGGGAAACACCAGGTCCCAACAGCCACTGATCACAGTGAGGTGCTGTCAGTCAGTCATAATTCCAATAGGAATAGCGTTAGTGACCGACACTGCTCTGCACAGAAGGTAACAGGAAAAAAGGAAGAAAAGAGAAAGCCCACTTGTTGCTGGTCACAAGACCTAAGCTGCTGCTCTTAGCTTCCTTCTTCCACTGCCCCGTCTGTATTTCCCTTGCCTTTTGACAGGGGTGGCCTCCGTCTTCATTCCCATAAGATTCAACTTCTTAGTTGTCCTATCTTTCTTGAGTCACCAGTTTCCCACTGGCCATTATTTTTGGACTGAGGAGACTTGTGAGGCACTCCAGCAAACCCTCTGGTTCAGGTACTGTTCTCCATGGCCTATTCTGTCCCCGCAATCCAATTTCCCCTGGTAACTGCGACAAGTCAACCCGACCAGGACAGTTGGTTCAGCGGCGCGACAAGCCCCGAAGTGGCCAGTAGCAAACCTGAGCTTCCAAGTTAATGGGATCAAGATTGTGTTCGCCGGGGAGAGTGTTCCTTCTTGTGCACTAGGACCTCCAAACCTACTGAGCCCAAGGTTATGGGGAGCCCAAACGTTCTGTAAGAGGGCTGTTTGATGCAATAGCGAGAGAGGCATTTCTTCGTCCACCCTAGTCCTTCTGCAGATCCACACACACCCAATGATTACTTCATGCCTCTCCTCTCTCCTTGAATCTCTCCAGGTTACACTGGAGACCAACTTGCATCCCTGGGGGTACCCTGTCAAAGAACAGGCCCTGGGCTTCCCTGGTGGCGCAGTGGTTAAGAGTCCGCCTGCCGACGCAGGGAACACGGATTCGTGCCCTGGTCCGGGAAGATCCCACATGCCGTGGAGCGGCTGGGCCCGTGAGCCATGACCGCTGAGCCTGCGCGTCCGGAGCCTGTGCTCCGCAACGGGAGAGGCCACAACAGTGAGGGGTCTGCGTACCGCAAAAAAAAAAGAACAGGCCCTGTGTATTCTGGCTATGGGGGAAATAGCACCCTATATAGGTGGTATCTCCCAGAGGAGACACCACACCCTCGAGGAGGGCACCTAGCCTTGTAGGGTGCTGGCCTGCAGTGGGTGCCAAAACTAAGCCTTCAGGAGTCCATTCCCCAGTTCATCTAAACAGCTGCAACTGAGTATTTCAGTAACTGTGCACAGACCAGTGAATTCCTTGGGCATGAACTCAGTGCCACACATCTTTTGCTCTATAATGAGCTCCTTGGTTGGAGAGGATGTTGTGTGGGGGAAAGAAAGTCTGTATCTGAACAGGACTCCATTCCTAAGGGAACAAATGACTAGCTCCCTCCATGAAGGAACAATACAGATTATTAGGCTGGTCCGCCATGTCGGGGATCCAGCATTGCTCTTTGTTAGTATTTATCAGTTCGGGACCTGAGTGGAGATGATATGCATACTGGCCCTAGTGAGGAGTACCTACGGAAAAAGCAGCGGGGGGAGGGGCAGAGAGGCTGACAGACATTCACAGGACAGACTGCTCATTTCATCAGCCTGATGACCTAGATCCTCTTCTGCCCCCGATAGGAACTTACACGACACCTTTGTGTCTTCACCTGCTGCTCCTTCTGGGACTTCCGTCCATGGACCTCTTTCCCAGACTTCCTGGTCTTGACCATTAGAGGTGCCCCACCAGCCAGCCAGTCTGCTGCCCATCACTCATTAGTCGGTGTAGATCCAGAGCCCCAGCCACCTCTCCTCCAAAGCAAAGCAGATGACCAGACTGGCCGAAATGGGACCACCGGGAGGCTCTCCCTTCACTACTGTCTTTCAGGACCATCCCTGAGTGGGACTTGATGCAGTGGTCGCACACCTCCATTTGATGGCAGCTATCGCACAAAGCCCCCTGTGAACAACAGACTGATTCTCCCTCCTCTGTTGCGTAGGTGTAGGGAGCTCCTCATGAAGCTGTAGAGAGAATACGTTTCTGTTTCTGTTGTGTAAGCCACCACGTTTGTGGTGATGCGTCACAGAAGCCACAAGAAACAAAACTACCTTCCTAAGCCTCGGTTCCCTCATCTACAAAACGCATAGGGGGCCCCTTTGGGTGGGAGAAGAGACACTCCTGGGAGGCTGCAGGGGGGACTCACTCCCCAGGGCCCCGCCCATCCCCCTTGGCCCCCCTCCTCTCCCCTGCACCGCACAGATGCAGGTCGGCCCCGTGGGCCCCAGTACTATGTGACCCAACTGGCCAGAGCTGATCCAGGTCAGCAGACCCGGGTCCTTCTGATCTACTCGGTGTCTCCCCTTCTGGCTGGGCTGCAACAAGCCTCCTCCAGCTCCCAGGGCCTCCGTTTCCGCCACGTGGGCCAGAGGCTGGGAGGAAGCCTGGAAGGAGAGAGTAGCTAAAGCCAAGGGGAGAGAGGAGCTGAGAGCAGAGGAAGGGGTACTGGGCAGGGTGTCCTGTCAGGATGAACAGCACTGAGCAGATCAAGTGAGCCCACCTTGGGGCCACCTGCTAGCTCATCTCACCTGGGAAAGCCGTGCTCATCCTGAAGCCGGCGCCCTGGTTCCCAGAACTCCCTGCTCTGCCAGCCCACAACCTGCCCGGCCCTTGTTGGACTGTGTCCTCTCAAGAACCCCAGCTCAGCCAGAGCAGAGGTGGGCTCTGCCTTCCTTGCTGCAGCTCCCTGGCACCCAGCACACAGCAGGCACTTGTCGAGAGGACGAATGAAAGGGGCTGGCCTAAGCTGGGGTCTGGAAGAGGCCAATTTAACGAGAACATCACCAAGGGACACATTGAGTTCAGCATTCAGGACAGTCCCCTTGAAGCTTCAGAGCTATTCTTGGTGCCATCGTTCCCATCGCATCAATGAAGATTTGCACCCAGGAAAGGTGAGGTAGCCTGTCCAAGGCCAGCCAGCTTGCCAGGCAGAGCTGGGCCTTGACCCCCCAGCCCGGCTTTGGAGCCCAGAGCAGCCTGCCAGTGGAGATCAGGGACAAATACAACCCTTGACACCTGCCCGCATGTGCTTACTGTCACCCCCCCTGTTTCCTTGGAGGGACTGGCCCTGAAATGGGGGACATGTGAGAGGGCGGGACACAAGGAAGGAGCAGAGCAGGCCTGTCCTCCAGCCAACGCAGGAGAGGAGCAGCCCCGGGACGGAGGCAGGAGGGCAGCTCGGAGGAGAGATGCGTTGCTCAGTTCCTTGGGCACATGGGACCAGCTGGGCAGAGAAAGGGGCCCAAGATTTAAGCCTTACGAACTGCACTGAATTCATGGGACCAGACAAGACAGCCCCGGAAGGCACTAGTCGTCCATTCTGCTTCTTCACCGGCCGGCTGACCTGGATCTGTTTTGGGGTGGGAGAGAGTGGTCCAGGGTGGGGAGGGTGTGGGCAGGACCAGGGCTCCCCAGCCTGCCCCTCACTATCCACGTGACCCAGCTCTGCAGGAGTCCACACGAGGAACTGCGGGGGGTTCCCTCTCCCCCTATATGCCCACCACCCCACACCCTGTGTGGAGGGCCGGCTCTCTACCTGATCCTGGAGGTTCCAACCCTCCGTGCCTCAGATTCCTGATCCAGGACCTGCAGTTGTTCAACGTTTATGGTAATGACATTGTGAGTACGATTTTTTAAAGTGTGCTTATTTTATAGAGCTACCAACAGAGAAATTTACATGAAATGATTGGATGTCTAGGAGTTGCCTTTAAAAATAAAATGGGTGGGGAGGCATGGGTGGACGGATAGGAGAAACTGGAGTAGCCTTCGCTCTGCTTTGGTATATATTTGAAAATTTTAAAATTTCCACTGAAAACAATTTTCCCCTGAAGCTGCCGAGGCGGGATCCTAAGATGCACCCTTGAGACCCGGCTGCCTCCCCGGCGCTGGGTTTGACCCCGGCGCCCACGGAGGGCGCGGCGGGGACGCGCGGGCTCTGGCGCCACCTGGCGGCCCTCGAGGGACCGACACCCTGCGTTGCTTCCTGGGCGCGGGCAAATGGAGCGCTCCAAACCGGAGCCGGCCGCCCACGCCACGCCACGCCAGGCTCGGGCCCACCCGGTGCTGCCCTGACCTCCGGAAGCGCTTTCAGCACCCCACCCAACCGCGCCCTCCCAGTCCGCCCTCACTCCCCACTCCCCGTCGAGTCCCCTGGAGGGGTAGTTCCAGGGTGTGAGTGACGCGACACACCGGGGGACCTCCCGAGGGTGGCCAGTAGGCCCGGCCCACGCACACGGCACGTCCACTCAACTCCTTAGGGTCTCGCTTTTTGTAATTTTACCAAAATTACACAGACTAAAGTCAAATCGTTACAGGAGGCTGGTAAGAAAAGCAGCAGTTCCCACCTCCCCACTTCCTATTCGCGGGGGCAGCTCTTTGCGCTTTTAGCTGATTCTTTTATGCTTTACCTCCACGTCACAAAACAACAGATTTATAATCTCCGCTTTTCATTTGAGGTGTTTTCTGCTAAGGACGGAGGATGAAGATTTAGCTCTTCCTCACCCCTTTACACTTCTTGTCTCCTCAGCCCCCAGTTACATCTTATTTGGGGTTAGATCAATTTCCCCTTTAACAGGTTAGGTAACTGCTACTCACAGATGAGCCATGGTTGTTCTTTCCTCTCTGCCATGTTTCACTTGCTGTGGATTTTATTAATTGTCTTGCGTGGGCTTTTGCTTCGTGCTCCATAGGTTTATCACTATTTTATCGCCAAATTCTAACCAGTTTACAAGTTGTATAAACTCAGCTATATTAGATATTCTATTAACTTCAGTGTGTTGAAGAGTTCTTTCCTGGGGCCGTCTGCCCTGCTCTGATGTAAATGGGCTGGTATTTTCGTCTGGGGCCCAGCTGGTATCCTGGATTTACCCTCCTCTCACTTGGGTGGCAGCCCATTTCCTGGATCCTCTTTCTTCTAATTTCTTGCT